ATCGACTCTGTTGCATCTCACAATGTACCTACATCCAGCTGCTTGTCTGCTACGAACTAGACTTGTGTATCTATAAGATGTCTATAACGCAGAGAAGAGAGTAAGCGCGGTTTATGGACACACTGGCATCTCTGGTAAGAGCCTGAATGATGCAGATTCATGTTGACGAAGGAAGGAAGGAAGGAAGGTCAAGCGATTATGTCAAGAATGATTGCAATACGATTCACTGACGTATAGCATTATATCTCAGAGCGAACGAGAATGATAAAATATCCCAGGTTACGTGAATTGCAAAATTCTTATATTTCCACTGTCGTGTTACATATCTCATACAGCACAGATCATTGCAATTATATTGCAGCAACATTGCAATGTTGCAAATTGCAATGCAACATTACAAAGACATTGCAGAAATATAGAGCCACAAAGTACCAGCACACTTGTAGCAACGTGACATTAATATCAGTGAATTTGCAAAGTTGCAATATTGCGGTGAAAGATTGCTACAATATGTATGCAATCTTTGTGTGCTGTATGGGATAATATAAAACAAAGAAAGCAATCACTACAACGCGAACGATTTCTCTTTTTCGTTCCATTTTGAAAGAATGGACAACAATTGCACACAGTAATACAATCGATAATGTGTAACATTTTGCATTCCTGTGAACAAAATGAAAAGCGAGCGAGATATACGTTACTATCTAACAAAATTAGAATATCACTATGAAAGAATATATCCCCATTTATTTCTAGATTTGATTGATTTTACTCCGATTTTTGATTAATCATATATTTTATTATTGTGAGAAAATAACATTAAAAATATATTGTTTTATAAAATTTTTTTAATATAATTTAGTATTTTATCTCAGTTTTTATATGATATAAATATTTTTAATAAAATTTCTTTCATGGGAATTTTTGAATAATATTTCAATCAAAAAATATTTAAAATTAATTATGAATTTTATAATATAAAAATATTCTAAATCATAAGTAAAATATTCCATTTATACATATATCATAATTTATATATATCTTATTTCCTCCTTATGTACTTGATATATTATTTATTACACTACTCTATTTAAATTAAAAAGTTATGCGAGTTTTGGGTATATAAATTTGCTTTTTATTTCTTGTTCGCGAGAGTGCACATATCGTGATAGCATTCCCTTAATACAGCGCATACAAATTTTTAATTAAAAGCATGACATGACTTGGCTTATACTCGAGCAATTGCTGTAATGTTCAAATATTTGTTAAAATTATTGTATTTTAATTCTATTCTGTTATAAACATGAACTTAAATCTGTCATTTTCAAATCATATTATAATCATTAAATAGAGCTGATAAAAATATTTTATCGAGTGTATAAAAATATTATAATAATTCTACATCCCCCAAAGTAAATTAAAATAATAGAATTAAACTGTTTTCACATGGAGTTTTATTTTTAAGAAAAATAATTTTGAAAATCAATCAAACATATCGTATAATTGGAGTGAAATTCGGTCTAACGGATTTAACTATACGTACCATTGTGTTATGCTATGCATAAAATATCGGCCTACATAGAGACACATATGCGATTCACTGATCCCTCAATCCTTGATGTTTGCATTATCTCCGTCAAATTGATAGCACCATCGACGATATATAAAGAGTTTTCCCGTACATATACTCCACTCTTAAATGCGTCTCGAAACCAGCGGAACACGGGCGCGCGTATCGCTCCTGGGCCACAATGCAGCTCGAATTGATTTCCGGGCCCACCTCGGAAGGGAGACGCTCGAGACCTTCCCAGCGCGCTACGATCAACTGAGGAAAAAAGAGGAGAAAAAAAGGAAAAAAATCAGAGTTCTCGATACATACCGATATGAATGGCCGTTCGCAGATCACCCCGGGGCCAGTCCGACAAAATTGCATCCGGAATTTCAATATAGCCCATATCATATTTCAACCTTAAAACGCCGCCAGCGCTGTCCGGGTATTACTTTGAGGCTTCTGTGCCCGTGCAAGCCGACTTTGCCCACCGATTATAGAGATTCTGACTGTGGTAAGTTACATGCAGATGAAGTGCGGGGAAACGGAGGATACGCGTATATACACATTCGCACGCATACGCAATCACTCTCTTCTCAATCCTTTTACCAGGGTGGAGCAGCTTATGTGCATGTGTATGTGTGTGTACATGTTGCAGGAGACATTAGATGGTTTTCGCTCGGAATAAATGATCAAAAGGTAACTCCGGATTAAAGCTGTCGCTCTCGCCTGGTGATAACTTGCTTTTATACACTTTGCTTATGCGACCTGATGCTTTTGTACAGTGGCTTAATTACATTTTCGGAAAACACGACGATGCCATTAATATATATTCGTCGCCTGTGCTGATGGAAATGAATTCACGCGTGTTTTCAATTCTGAATTCTCTGTCAGATTTAGGGTTAATTTTGGCTTACAATTAGTGAAGGGAGACCGAAATATCTACGCCATTAAAGTTTGATTGTGAGTGGGAAACGGAGAGAAAAATTTATTATCGTATTATAATCTTTTTCAAATGTAGACTTTACTGTAATATTTATTTCACGAATTTGTTATTGAATCCTATTTTTTATCTGTAATTCTAAGTTTTATTTTTATTTTTAAAATCGATATTTTGCTACATGTGATCTCACACTATCATTAAAATATCACAGTAGGAAAGTATTTTGTTAAAAATAAAAAAAAGATTAATAATATGCTAATAAGCTTGATAACAACGTTGTAAGCTTTCGTTTGAAGTCGAATCTTAATTTTATCAAATAACACAACGTGTTTTTATATATATATATATACTATCTATTACTTTTTTATTGTTTTACGAATATAACCAGCATTAATACGACCCTTCTTCTTTATAAATATAAATATAAGTAATAAATATAAATATAAGTAATAAATATAAGTTATAAATATAAGTAATAAAATTGCACAAAACTTAATGAAGAAAGAGAATAGTACAGCTTTAGAAATAGTTGATATAATTATTGCATAATTAATAGAATATATATATAAAAAATGTATAAAAAAGATTATTAATAGCGATGTATCATAATGGAGATTATGAGTCGATTATACTTTTAAAATCTGTTCTTCTCTCGTCATATATGCCGGAAAAGGGGAAAATCATCGCGGTTTATATACATACATGCATAAATCTGAAACGAGAAAGACGAGAGAAATTAATGCCAGTTCGTTAGGATGGCTTGTGTCCATGTCGCAGGATTTAATTACTGATGTGAGTAAAAATAAATGGCAGCAGCGACGCAAAATACTGATTTAACGAGAAGGAACAAGCATATCGCTATCGGAACACTCGCGATATTCGCCATTAGGTGGAACGATTTTTCTCGGATAATTTCCACTGTATCCAAGCGATCTCCAAGAACGACGCGACGAAGAACGAAACATTTTTTTTTTTATTAATGAAAGATATCATAAACGAGTTTCAAAGTAATCTTCCGCCAAGTGCTCGACGATGCGCGCTGAGACAATTTTCTTCCGAAGTTTACCCGAAGTTCGCGATTATCGAGAGGGGATCCTACTCCCGCGAGCAAAAAATTCTCATTATGACTTATCCGCGATCGACTCTACGGGAATATACTTCGGGAATCGCATCGCAAAGATGACGAGCCTGAATGATCGTCAAGACAATCGGGCGGTGAAAGCGTAATTGAAAAGGATGAAACAAAGATCCGCAGAAACCAGTAACATTGTTTTCTCGCTACACGAATGAGAGGAAACGAATCGGAAACGGTGCGAAGGCGAGAAAGACGAAGGGTTGACATTCGTCGAGTGAATGCTCCGCTCGACACGTGATTTATTGTTACGGAAAGAAAGAGTTAGGGGTTGTGAAGGGATACGCGATGTAACGTGAACGAAACCGGTCGCGCAAAAACGCGGTAACGAAAACATTTATTCGCCAAATTAAATTGAGAGTGAATGGGAGAGATTGATCGGGAGTTATGCATCGCGTCGGTGAAAGATTCTCGTGGACAACAAGATCGTGGCAAATGTTCCGGTAATACCTGGTCATTTATCACGGTAGCGAATGGAGAGAGCTCGTGAGGTCCCGAAGATGATCTGACAAGCTGCACACGCGGTGTTACAGCGCGACTAAGTTCGCGTATGAGTTGCGATGATTAATCGATAACAGGTTCCATATGATACGGACGGTATGCTGTCGATGTGATGAAACGACCCTAATCATATTAGTTAACGGTGGTATGATCAATATGTTATGACGGGACAGGTCATCCCGTTTCGTTCAGCTTAACATCAGAGTACGCTACCGCCGTCGTTCGCGTCATGCTTATCTTGCTCGCGTATCAGCATGTTACGCTCACATCTACATATATCTACATATACATTATGATAATAGAAACGGGCTGGCTAATTAATCGATCCACATAACGATGCTACCTATTACCTATCTCCCAATTTCAGTTTGCATAATATTCTATATTTATCAAACCTATATATATACCACGAAGACAATTATTCTGTTATAGAGAAGAGAAAGTCACAATATATTCTTATAATTATATTTCACGAATAAAATAATAAATCGTTTTTCTGCTTTACGCGATGAACTCAATAACACGGTAAAAAATAGAACGTATTATTTATAAAAATAAACGAGCATTGTTTCCATACATTTTGTGTAAGTAATAAATCAGAAAATAAAAAAAACAACTTCTGTGTAAAGAGAGAAAATAATATAATTTTTTATCGAAGAATATATGTATAAATATTTGATTAATAACACTCATAGCTTGTTTTACCGATATTTTTAATTAAAAGAATTATTGCTAATAACAAAGTTAATTTGCGAAGTAATTTTTAGATGAACGGAGATGAAATGGGTAGAAATCTCTTGATATGGGAGAAAAAGAAATCTCACGTATTTGTCGCACAACGATTCTTAGTGACCACGTTCTCTCGTGTGTTAAAGTGTGCCATTTGCTGCGAGGCGGTGTGGCGGCGATTTTTGGACCGCAGAGCGCGCACACGGCATCTCACGTGCAAAGCATTTGCGACACCATGGAAATTCCGCACTTGGAGACACGCTGGGACTACCGGCTTAGACGACAGAGCTGCCTCGTCAACCTCTATCCTCATCCCACCACTTTGTCCAAGGTACGTATACAAACTTGAGGAATAATAGCCTCATTAAAGCGACAACCGCCGCAGAAAATGTGCCTCCGTGATCTTCCTTTCTCTCTCTCTCTCTCTTCGGTTTCATGAATTTCTTTAGACCCTCGTAACTATTTTGTACCTCACCTTCATCGACGAATAAATATCGCTTTTTTATGCCGTAGGATTAATTTAACGGTCGTCACTCTAAATTAGGGTAGCTTAAACATTCCATGCTTTACTTAGCATTTTGTATTTGATTAATTGTGATTACAGTTGGAATGAAAAGAAAAAACAGTGAGTAGAGAAAGTAATCAAACTTTCAATAGAGACAAAAAATATATTATCTTTCAAAATCAAATTCAAATTTCAAGATTAATACATGATTTGTACATGATGCGTAACTTATCTAATTCAATATAGAAATCCTAAATAGTTTTATAAGAATATAGTATGATTAATGTAAAAAGAAACTATATTTTTTATATATAATATTTTATTAGTATAAATATTCGTTTTTAATTTTCGTGTGTGCTTTTTTTCATTAGTTAACCAAAAACGTAGTTATTGATAAAATGGATTAAAAATTTTTAATAACGTTGAGACAAAAGAATATTTCAGTTTCCGTTTTGATCGTGTGTTTTCATTAAGCCATAGCGCAGCAGGATTGCTTTTGCAACCATCGCGTATTCGCAGCTATATCCGGTTGCATCGGACGCTGCATCCACAATGCGGCAGTTTTAAACTTAACGTAAAAAAGAACTGAAACTTTCTAAATTTTTCTTAATAAGCGCAAAGTTCCTCGATGAAGAGTGCGGCTGGAAGCCTCAGTCACGGGGTTTGTGTTTGAATGCTCTCGAGCATTCGGGTTAACGAGAGTTCTCTCTCTCCCTCTCTCTCTCTCTCTTTCTCTTTGCTCTCTCTCTCTGTTTGTTGTTTTATGAGTCCTCGCAGCTCTTTTCCTTTTCCCAATATTTGCGACTCGCGAACACTCGCATTTTGCGACACTGTGCTCTGTCTTTCTCGCTCGCTCGCGCGTCCTCTCTCAATATTTGCCACTAGATTTGTGCTCCCGAAAAGCGTTTCATTTATTCTCTATATAGAATGTAATGGGAATCCTGCTCATCGTCCACCATTAAGTTTCCTCTTTATTTTCGAGGGAATTCACGAAGAACGCTAAGAACCGAAAATAAATATCCGAGATACTTTATGTTTCCAACAAGAGAACATTGAGAAAGACAATAAATCTATTGGGCGAACGAAACAGGCAAAAATTCGCCAAAGAAAAGGCAACAAAAATGAAATTTTCTTCTAAGACTAGTATGCATTCAAAGATTATTTATTTGTACCATACGCATACGCATGTATCTAATAATAATAATGGAAGTGCAAGAAGCCTTACATTTTTATATTATTATTATATACATGAGTTTTATATTTATAACAGACTGGAAATGAAATATCTATTATTTACTTGCAATTCTGAAATTCATGGGAAATAGAACAAGATTGGCAATCAGTATTTATTTCTACATGACAGATATCGTGAAAATCTTTATGGATTTTTCGCATGAAATATTGATAGATAGATAATAATTTACGGTCGCGTACATCGGCTTTGACATTGCCGATCAAAAGGCTTTCAGTGGACACACAGAAAGCACAATTTAAAAGCCATCGCATACCTCAAGTTATCCGCTCTTTCCTCTGACTTTCTCTCTATCCTGTCAGAGTAAGAATTTCAATTAGAATTCGCTCATGTGTTGCATCGCTGAACTATGAGTATTCGTTAAAAATCATGAATTTTGATTGATATTCCAGTGTTGTCGATAAACTCGCGATCGTTCGACGCAACTCTATAATTACCCTGCACATATATTTATGCAAACGTATATGATATTATCTATTGTAATAAATTCCATAAAAAATTTATTTATAAAATGTTTGAATATACAAATATTGCTACAAAGACATACAAAAGTAGATACAAACGTTACATAAAGTAATAAATCAGTATTTATATATATCTCTAATACATTTATCTCTCTTTTTACTTTTTCGTAATTATCTATATCTGTTGAAAAACATAGAAATTATGTTTAGAAAATTTATTTCTTCTAAGAATTCAATTTATAACAATTTATATCTGTACATGCATAAATCGAATAAAGAATAAATTCAGTAGAAGTTAAATGTATATATATATTTAAAAAGACATTTACAAAAAAAGATTACCGTTACCTAGATTTTGTTAAAGGTTGCATCTACGCAAACGCGATTTCTGCAAAAGATTCACAGTAAAGTTGTTTTTTTTTTTTTTTTGTAGAATCCAATGTTCGCTCAATGCAATGCGAGTGCATGGAAAATTGAAAAACACAAAGAAACTAGAGGACATTTAATAAACCTTCGTGTTCAGAAGGTGATAAACATCAGGTTTCCTCAGTCTCACGTTTCCATTGTGAATCTAGTAAACCGAAGAGAAATAGCTTACCCGTCGTCAGTTATTTCACGATGTCGGAACGGGGTTGGTTTTCCCTTGCCTTGGAGTTCTTTTCCTCTCGGCAAAGTCCTGCCTGCCATTTCCAACGGCAAAAATGCAAAATTCGCTAGGAGAGCAACGACGTTCTGATTAGAGTACGCGACAGAGGAAAAGGAAAATCGAAAAAGGACAGCGAAGGTGTGGGAAACGTTGGCGTCGATTCCGTCAAACGAGCGACAGCCTCATTCAGTCAACCCGACGACGGAAATATTTTACTTTCCGGTACCATCTTATGCGCGGTTCAAAGGAACCGAAGGCGATTGCAGGGAACTGATGGCAAAAATAGGGCAAAAAAAAAATACAGTCGCGTTGCAGTGAGTCTCTTTGATTCGCATCGAGCGCGCGAGTTGTGGGGATAATTTTTATACCCTTCGCACGGTGGTTCTACGCGGAATGATAACAAATTACTATGGCAAATGGCATATTATTCCAGATAATGGCAAAGTGAAAAGAATAACTGTGTAATCTGCGAAAAATATTAACTGAAATGAAATGTTGAATGCATCAAAGTATTTTTAAACGTTTGCAAACCATAATTTATCTGTTATTTAACTGAAATTTTAAAAAATAATTTAAATATGACAACTATTAGCGAACATTTATTTTAACTAAACAAAAGTAAAAATATTATTTTATATTTTTTTATTAACGTTGTATGAATTATTTTGGTTTGGAAATCCAGAAAAAGAGGTATCAATTATTATTTTATTTGAAATATTACTTCTCTTTCCTCTTTCTTTCTCTCTTATTTCATATTTTAAATACGAACGTTGTGATCTGTAAAAATTAATATTGATAGAAGAACAATGCTTCAATAAACAAATAAAAAACAAAGCTTCCTTTATGAGAAAGCAAAAACGATATACTCGTGACTGCTCTATCACGTTTGAAATGTTTCTAATCGTGACGCTTTAATTAACGTATTCAAACGCGAAGACGAATCTATCCAATCTCGCTTTGAACTTTAGAACAGCTTGTATTGTCCGTGTTGAAATCGAATTGTCAGGTATTTCGATTCACATTCCTGCACGGACGTGAACTGCTTCTTCTGTTCTGTGTTCTGTGAATCTCGCAAAATAAAATAACTTTTTGTAAGCCATCAAAGAAATGCCCTACGAACTTGTCAAATTCTCGTTCTCTCTCTTAATATCTTTTTTAATAATAAAACTTTGAAGACAGAAAGAAAGAGAGATAAATATTTTTTTTATATAATCTTTACAAATAAATAAAATTATATAAATTATATATATATATGTATCAGTACTTTTGATTTGAATCATTAATGTCTTATTCTTATATGAATATAGATATATGCATTGTATATCATATAAAATGTATGTTATAATATCATATACATATATGTAAAGCATTATTGCCTTTAGCCTGAATGCTTCAATTGTTGAAATGTCACTAATGATGATATATGTATATGTCTGTAATGATTACAAAGCCATTCCCTATATAATTATGCATACTAAGCGTATATTTTAATCAGAGAGAATTTTCTACAATTAAAATTATTCTTTATGCACATTAAAAACGAATCAAACATTTCTCGCTTTCAAACTTTCAATTATAAAATGATATTGACTATTTCGGTCATAAGATAATCGACATTATGATGATGTAGCAGACGATATGTTGGTGTTAATGAACCACGAGGAGCGCAATTGCCGTTACCGCGGCAATGATTTAACGATCTTGCTCGTAGCTGATAATGGACTGACTTCTATGCTCCGATGGTCGTCAGACCAACAGTCGCAATATACCTGTATGAATCGCGGTTGAATCAACCGCTATGTTGGAATTTAATTTGTACCATTTCCTAATCGAACCTTTGCTCATTACATTTTATCGTGTCATTTTATTCAATTTACAATGCTGACATGCTGACAAACTTTGAGGCCCAATTTTGAACGTTGAAGAGTATTAAGAAAATATTTAATATTCTCATATTTTCACATAACGGCATTTCTCTTCACTTATTATACTATGTGTCTAAAAAAATTTTACAATTTAATAATAGAAATTTTTAGAATATATATGTATATCTTAAATGATAAATAAACTTCTAAATTTTACGTTATTCTTAATGAGAAAAATTGTCTAACGGAAATGGAATTTAATATTATTTTTTTTTAATAAGAAAATTTCAAGATTATTATTATTATTACAAATTTTTAATATTTAACTTAAATATATAAATTTCTCGAAACAATTAATTTTTTTTTTTTTTCAAAAATCAAATTTATTTTGTATAATTCGTAATAAATTGAAACGCAACAAAATTAAAAATTAGATTATTCTTTGGATCAGATTCTTTTATATATTCATACTTTTTTACAACATAAATAATTTAGACAAAATATGCGACAATATCATACTTTATTACATTCAGAAACGGCTGCAATTTCATTCGCTTCAAGTCGTACTTGATCGCCACCGCCTAAACAGATCATTGACG